CTGTACTACTGGTGAACCTTGTAAGAAGGTTAAGTTCTTGAAACCCACTTACAAGATATGGGCTAAGATTTTCATGAGCACCATCTTTCACAGACCCTCTTCAAACTCTTCTGATTATGTTAATGCTGAACAACTTTACTTCATGTATTGTTTACACCAAAACATTCAGATTGATCTTCCATATTTGTTGTTTAATCATCTGGTGTCTCACGTCAAGGAAACAAGGGAAACAGCCAGAGATAAATCTGGAAAAGTCAGAACATGGATCCCTATGGGAAGGCTGATTTCAGATATTCTGATAGAAAACCAACTTGTGGCGCATCTGCAAGAGGCTGAGTTGACAGAAGATCTGACTTATATCATTGGCTCTGAAATAAACGGTTTAACTTTGAGAAGGATGAAACTGGTTGATGATTTATCTGAGAAACCAAGGAAAACTAACTCTGAAGAAGTTAAGGGAAGAAGGATTCCTGTTAAGGATTTTCCTTTATTCACCTCAGATGAACCTAGAGAAATTATTGCTGAGTATGTTGCTCGCTGCCTAAGAGATGGTGATGAGATTCCTGCCAATCTTTTGCAGAAGGAAGGCCAAGTTCTTCCTGATTTGACAAGGGAAAGAAGACGTAAGAGAAAAGTTGATAGTGAAGGTCATCAGAAGAAAAGGAAGCATTCAAATGCTGAAAAGAAGAAGAAAAGGAAGAAGCTGAAGAAGGTTCAACCAAATCCTCCTGCAGCAACTTTTGAAGAAATTAGAGATACTCTGAAACAGGTATTTAACACTGATTCTAATCCTGTTCATCATTCTGATACCCCCACACCCTCTGACTCCCCACTTAGATTTAGAAGATCCAGACCTTTTAAAACTTTTATCTCTAAACCATCTTCTGTCCCCCCTCATACACCACAATCCAAGCAACCAACAAACATACAAACAGAAATTCCACAACAAACTCAACAAACAACACCACAACCACAAAACACTATCCCAGAATATACCATTCCAGAGGATGTTCACCCTGAACACTCTGACCAACCTGAATATCTCATTGATCCTGATGAGATATTAGATGTCACACCTTTAAACCAGTCTGTCAATTTATCTTCAACTTCTGAAAAATCTAACCACTCTGATGCATCATCTGATGATGAATCATCTGGTTACATTAATGAATGCTTGAATGATCTCAAACAACCTCGTTCTGAGAGTGTTTGGAAACAGCTGTTTAAATCTCCAACTTCTGAACATCCACCTTCTCCACAAAATTCCCCAACTCAAACTCTCACTCCACAACCTCTTGAAATCCAAAACACTCCACAACCAACAGAAACCCAACCAATTCCCTCAATACCTCAACCACAACATTCTGACCAACAAACATCTGAACCACAAACCAACCAACCAACATCTGAACCACAAATCAATCCTCAACCTTCTGAACCACAAACATCTGAACATCCATCTTCACAACCTCAACCTTCTGAACAAACACCACAAACACAACTAACCCAACCAAGAAAACCCAGAATCCCTGATGAAGCAGAATTGGGATCACGTGTTTATACTCTGTTAAGAGATTTTGATAAGGATAATGTCTCAGACTTTGCTGACATTATGGATGTTTGCATGACTACTATGGACAAAGAGGCTGCTGACGCTGTCTGGAAGAAATATCTTTACAGACTGAATAGGGAGGCTTTGAAAATCAGGACTCAATGTCTTAGATTGTCAAAAGTAAGGTTTGCTGCTTATCAAAAACGGATTAAGAGAAACACTCCTCCTATTCTTCTTCTAGAAGCTCCTCCACCTCCAGAAATTCCTGCACCTGATGTTACTCAGACTGTTTCAGAATCTACTGTTTCAGAATCTACAGATCTTCAGAAGGATGTCAAAGAACTTAAGGATTTTATGGTTGATCAAAAGAAAACAAATGAAGAAATGAAAACTTGGATGGCTAAGCAAGATGAAAATTCAGAAAGGATTACAGCACTGCTGCAACTCATTGCTTCTCAACAAGCCTCATCTGCTAAACCTACTTGATGTTTTGCACAAGTTTTTCATGTTTTGCTTTGTTTTGATTTTCTTTTGATATGTTTTGTATGCTTTTATCTGAATCTGGATGTTCTCTTGACTTAATGACAATGATCTTTTTGCTTATCTGGATATGTGTTTCTTCTGCATCTTTACTGTCTTTTAAAATTCTTTTTGATTATGACAAAAAGGGGGAGAAACAAAATAGAATCTGATTGTTCAAATCTATAAGCAATTATCTGAACTAAGTCAGACATGTTACTAACATTCTTTGAATTTAAGTGTCCCAGATATTATTAAAAAAATCTGACAAATTTCATTGAAGTTTTTCCTGAGATCTATCTTTTCAGAACCTGATCAAAAATAGCTAAATCTGAGTAGACCAGACTCTGATATCTAACCTTGAGTACTATGATCTAAAAGATAACTCAAGACAGGAAATGGCAAGATAAACAACCAGGTGTTCTGAAGTTGTTCATCTGGCATAAAGCTTTAATATGGCATCAAGCTTTGACTCTAGAAGTCAAACATATGTCAACCAGGCTTCAATCAGGCTCTGAATCTGAAATGTACTCAACCAGAAAGGGAGGTATCTAATTCCATTAGAGTATTCATTTCAGGGGGAGACTGTAAATCTCAGGGGGAGTAATTTTAATTCATTTTTTTTATTGAACAAATTTCTCATGTTTTGTCATCATCAAAAAGGGGGAGATTGTAAGAGCACAGATTGTGTCTTAGTAATATCTCTATGTTTTGATGATAACATTAATGATAATTTGTATACAAGAATTATACTCTCTAAATTTGTTCTAAACTGTTTTCTACAGGCACAAAAGATTTTAATCTTAAAGAGCAAATTTGATGTGTACAATAAATTCTGAATGGCTCAAGAGCATCTGAAGATTAGAAGAATCTGAAGTATAAGAGCTTAGTCATCAAGATTCTGAAGATACAACACGCTGCATATATTATCAAGAATCTGAATGAAAGAAGACTCTGAGTGAAGAGACTCTGAATGAGAGAAGACTCTGATCTGAGTGAAGACTCTGATCTAAGAGCATGTTACGCTTCAAGCACACAGCTGCACCAGACTCTGATTCAGCAACATCTGAAGAACATCTTAGGCTCTGAAGTTTCCAGAAGATTCTGAAGACTGAAGACTCTGATATTGATTGTTGATCTGAACTATCTGAAGAATTATTTGAAGAAGATTATTTTAATATATCCGTTGGAATATGCCAACAAATCTTTCCTTAATTGGGATAGACATAAATCTCTGCAAGAAGATTATTCCTCTGATACATTCCATATATGGTAAATTCACAGCTCAGCAGACAATTGCTACACCCACATTTTGTGCGCCGTCTCTCTGCTGCAATAGTACAAAGGACAGTACTATTTGATATTGGAAATATCTTCTCCAACGGTATTATATTCTCTCCAATATTCAAGTGGCTATATAAAGGATATCATAGCACTTTCTTCAGGGACGAATTTTGACAAACTTATTCTCAAGCGAAGAAACTCTCAAGCTCTCATATTCTTTATAGTTCATACTTTGTTCTAAACTTCGAGAAATAACACAGTTGTGTTTATAGCTTTCATAGAAGCATTTTATTACTCTTACACTGTATTACATTAATTTGTAAAGGAAGTTTTCCTTAAGAGGATCTAGGTTAGATCAGTAGCTCTTGAGAAGACTAAGAACAGTTGTTCTTAGGTGTTGCTATTTGTAATCAGTTGATTTGAATAGTGGATTAAGTCCTTGTTGAGAAAGGCAAATCACTCTTGAAAAGGGTGGACTGGAGTAGTTGAGTTCAACGAACCAGGATAAAAATACTTGAGATTTTATCTTTGATTATTTTCTGTCATACTTATTCAACCCCCCTTCTAAGTATTTTCTCACCTTCAATTAGTTGCAATATTAATATTACAAGTCATTACAAAAGTGGCATTGCAAGTCATTATACATAACTAGAGTATAGGAATTTTAGGCCATATGTTACAGCAGTTGAAATCCAAAAAAAAATGGCATTATAAGTCTTAGTCTTAAACTACATAATAGGCAAAAAAAAGAAGAAGGAATAACTAGTACACAACAAAGATAAACATAAGTTGATGGTTGGCTTAGAATAGGTTTTAGCCCTTTTGAAGTCTCTTTCTTTTTTGGATACTTGCTGAGTTGAACCTTCATCTGGTGCTAGCTGGCTTGATGTAGCAACAACTGCTGTTGGTGGTAGGCTTGATGCAACAGCAAATGGTGTTGGTGGTTGGGCTGATGTAGCAGCAACAGTTGGTGGTCTTGTTGTAGTAGCAGCAGTTGGTGGTGATGTTGTTGTAGCAGAAAAAGTTGGTTATGTTGTTATAGTAGCAGCATTTGATGTTGTTGTTGTAGAAGCAACAAATGATGGTGGCGTTGTTATAGCAACAACATTTGGTGTTGTTGTTATTCTAGGCACCTTGCAAGTGGACATGTTGTGACCATCTTTATGGCACCAGTTGCACTTGATACCAAATTTGTCCCATTTGAGTTGTGTATCATTTCTAACTTGTTCCCCAACATCTTTGTTTCTTTTCTTCTTGGGTCTACTAGGCTTCCTTTTTATGGGGGTGGTTGTAGGTCAATAACATCTGTTTTGGTCCAAAGTGATTCTTCATTGACGGGATAAATCAGTAGGGCATAGCAAGCTTCATAACACTCCTTTTTGTAATAATCGGGAACAAAATCATCTACTTGTAAATGTTGATCCTTCATACATGCAAGGACATGACAACATGATAGCCCAGTCAACATTCACCTTCTACATGAACACTCATGCTTTGACAGATTAACAACAAACTTTTCTTTAATGAGTATATGTGCCTAACCTCATAGTCTACTTCACCTGCGCGCCTGTTACAAATATAGAATGGTATCATACTACTTCTTTGTATTACCTAGAAAAATATTTTTGAGACATTACCTTACAATTCAATTGTTAGTCCTTTGTGATTCCTTTTCCAACTTCTTTCTAATATTTGGCCGAATGGTATCAACATATTTGGAAACTTTTTGTCTGTTAGACTCCCACCTTTGCATCAGGTACACAATAATCTCCTCAAGCATTGTCACGATGGGCTTGGCCCTTGCAGCTACAAAAACAGATTTAAATGCTTCTGACATGTTGTTCACCAAAGTGTCACACTTTGGACCATTTTTAAACCTAAATTTGCTCCATAACCTAGGTGGGATCTTCCAAAGGTGCTTGAATGCTTCTTCATTCACCACTTTTATTTCACGCATAATTATTTCCCAAGCATTTGAGTAACTAGCATCGGCAGCTTTCCACATAAATTTCTTTAATTTGACACCAGGAAAATTCTTCCTAAAGTTGCTATATAAGTGCCTGCCAATAATCATCAGAAACAATGGATAGTAAAGACATCAGAGACTACCATAATCATAATCATAAATATGAGACTCATAATCATTGGAATATTGAGTGCTATGTAACACAATATAATGATGTTTACCTAACACAAAACCTTTGGTCAACTTCCGACAGCAACTCATCAAGGGCAAGTAACAACCTCTGTATTTTAGTCATACCTGATTAGTTTTTAAGATAACAAAAACAAATTATGTCAAAAACATAGTCAGTTAGAAAGTTACTAGTACACACCTTTTGTTGATCACTTATAAAGGTATATGTTTTTCATAGTCTTACACCTCCCCAATTTGTGTCAACAGATCCAAAAACCAACTCCATGAATCTTTAATTCCTCCCTCGACTACAACAAATGCTATTGGCAGCATTTGGTCATAAGGATCCCTCCCAATGGCTACAAGAATTTTTCCACCATAATAGCCTTTCAAAAAGCATCCATCCAAACCTATGATAGGTTTGCACTTAAAGAAGTTATTCTTGCAAGCTTTGAGGCAAATATAAATCCTTTGGAAATGTGGATTCAAAGGCCTTTCAAAATTGTCACTACTTTCCTCCCCAACTTGACTTGGTTGACTAGTAATTTTTACAGTTGAACCAGGATTCGCCCTTAACAGCTCATGACCATAATCATGGATTCTTGTATATTGCTCTCTAAATGAACCATCAACAATATCAATAGCAAGTGACTTAGCTATGTATGCAAGTGTCGTATTGTTCCCTACATTCCACTTTCTTTTTTTGTTTTCTCCATTATATTACTAAACTTCAAATTAGGATTCTCTCTTACATTACTTTGAATTTTTTCCCCCAACCATTTAGAATTTAGGAACCTCACTTCATAGTCCCTGCTGCATGTGTGCTTGTCCTCAATCTTTCTCAACTGCCAAGTATTATTATCTTGTAATTTTGCACGGTATGACTCCCATGGACAACCTTTCTTACATATGACTATCATCCTCTTATTATCATTTTTCTTAAATTGTAGGTTTCTACCAGAATGGGTAGCATAAGTTTTAATTCCCTCTTTAAAGTCTTCCTTAGAAGCAAAATAAGTCCCTAATTCCTAAGTGTAATCATCCTTTATTTTTGGAAGTTTGTAAGTAGGAAAATCATCTTTTAGAATCTCATCATCTTCACTATCATAAACATATGGTGACTCATCAGTGTCATACTTCTCAATGTCACTCAAACCTCTAAAGCTTTCTTTTGTAGCCTCACATTCATTGACATCATCAAATACACCACTACCCTCAACTCCTTTTTCCATAACTTTTTGTTTCTTTGGTCTCCCCTTACCCTTACCTTTTCCTTTCACCTTATCCTTACCTTTTCCCTTCCCATTTTCTTTTCTTTCTTCTATATCAACTGCAATTTCTTCAGCAATTCCAATTGAGCCATCACTAGAATCCCCAAAGATCTATTTGAACACATTATCATCACAATCTTTTTAGTTACATTTAAGCCCCTCATTTTTTTGGTTACATTTTGCTCCCTGATGTACCTCTTGGTTACAATCAGTCCCTTAGATACATGTTCATTTTGAACACTCACCAAGAAGGGTGTGCCATCCAATACATCATTTTCTTGGTCACATACCATATGTCCAGTGGTCCCATCTAAAGTAATATCCACTATAACATCCTTAGACACAATGTCCCCCTTAAAGTTAACATCATGACATGACTCTTTTTGGTTACTGCCCTTAGTGGTCCCATCCATATTAACATTCTTAAATGAAGCTTCTTGGTCAAATGCAGCTGAATCTTAAAATCTTGTGGACCCTCCTTCTTCAAAATTGTCACCTATATTATTCAATTCTTCAATGGTCCCCAAGTCATCAAAAATTCCTTTTACACCATTATTCAATTCATCCAACATGTCATCTTCTAAACTGTCGTCTTCTAAAACAGTTGGACCTACATTATTTTCAATATTTGGACCTACATTGTTTTCAACATTTGGACCTGTATTATTCTCAAGAGGCAATATTTGCTTTTCCCCATACACTGGATGCATTACATAGAGATGAACATTCCCATTGATCAGAGCAATGGTCTTCACTCTATTTGTTCTTGCGTCATCTTGCAATATCACTAGCTCATTATCATCCATTGCATCATAATACCACAAGCTCTCAACTTTTGGATACCCTAAATCTTTCAACCCACGTAGAATCTCAAAATAACTCCAATAATCCGGGCCAACCTGCCAAATTTCCTTTAAACCATTGTAACTATGTCTGTTAAACTCACCAAACCCACCCTCATGATGGATAACAAACTCAAACATATCACCACTCATCACCTAGTCACACACGATACTTCAGAAATCACACATCGCAGCAAATGAAATTGTAAATTCAAATGCTTTTTAAAATGATGAGTTCATACACGTACCTCTTTAAGATGCTGGCCTCTTTACGTGTCTTCTTCTGCTATCGTCTTCACAAACTACCGTCGACTTCAACAACGACCGCGTTGTTCTTCGCAGGCTAGGATTTTTTTTTAGGAACGAAAAAGCAACAATAACATTATGAGAGTAGCTGAATAGTCTAGCATATTAATTACTAAAAAAGAAAATAAATGTCTCCCATTGACACACCAGAAACAATATAGGGTGAAAAAAATGCCACCTAAGTATCAACAAATGTCACATAGACGCGTTTTAACGTTTTTTTCCAAAGAAACTAACAAAAGGGGTTTATTGTGCTAACAGAGTGTCTTTAAAGGACTACATTGGAACGTTTTTTTAATTATGGGACAAACTAGAAACAACAAAAAACTTAAGGGATTAAAATATGAATGAAGCCAAAATATTTTTTTTTTAAATTACGAAAAAAATTAAAAAATTTATAAAAAAAATCTAAAACTCATTTGAATTTAAAAAATAAAAAATAAATAAAAATAAAATGACATTTGTCTTGCCACGTCAGCAAATGCAAAGATTATGTGTTGACCGATCAACAAAAGGGCAATATAAACGGAATCTAAACATTATAGAGAAAATAAAAAATTTTTACAGAAAATAAATCGAAACTCGATAACATTACATGAGTATGATATATTTAACCCATTGATAGTTAAGTAAAATTTTATATATGAGACACAATCAGATATGTTGGATAAAAATGCACAAATATTTTTTTCAACCGCCAAAAGAATGCATAATTATTTTGTAGGTGTTGGACTATAGTCTACAAGCTCTAATTAATGAACAAAATTGTGTATAAGTTCTTGAAATCAATTACTAAATTTAAAATTGACTATATATTAAATGAATATATAATTAATAAAATATACAATAGATTTATAAAAATTATTATTTAAGTATTTATTTTTATATAGTAAATGACTATATATTAATTTTTATATATTTTTAGTTATTAATAATTTTATAATAATTATTATACATCAACAATAATCAAGTCTTATCAAATGATATAATATATGAATGAATATATCCGTAACGACACACAAATCTTCTATTAATTTATTATTTTAAAGAATTAAAAATATATATAATGAAGTGTAATTTTGTTTAATATAATACAATGTGATTTGATTGAATTTGATATATAAAATATAAATAATAAAAAAAAATTGAACCTCTTAGTTGCATTAAAAAAATATTCAACATTCAAAATAAATATATTTTTCTATTAAATCAATTCGGTTTTAATCGAGTCTAGCTCTAATATCTCTTGAATGAGCTAAAAGAATGAGACACATGCGTAAACAAACATAATCGTTCCATATTTTAGTCTTTTCATTGCATGAAAGCAACTAGTAATTCAGTTAGGCACGTGTTTCACATTATTACATGGGAGTCGATTTTCTCATATTTTCTTAATTGTTTATCGAGTAGTAAAATCTGAACCACACGTTAAAAGGTATCCAAACATTCTATAAGTATCAACACCCTCCCACTTAGCACATACCACTCAACCTTGTAAATTTCCAAACCCACCAAAAATGAGAAGCATGTTTAGTGGAGCTGAAATTGTTCTAAGCTTCCTCTCCCTCCTCTTACTCTCCCCAGTTGCGTTCTCTGAGAAATGCCACCCACATGACAAGAAAGTTCTTCTCAGAATCAAGCAAGAACTCAACAACCCTTACGTTATAACCACGTGGGATCCAAAAACAGATTGCTGTCACTGGTATTGTGTCAAATGTGACCTCAAAACTCACCGTATCACCGACGTATTCATACAATCCTCCGTACCAGACACAAATCTCTCCGCCCACGTCCCCCCTTCCGTCGGTGACCTCCCTTATCTCCAGTCTCTCCAATTCCACAAATTTCCCGGACTCACAGGCCCAATCCCGCCTACCATCGCCAAGCTCAAAAACCTCAAATATCTTTTCATTGAGCACACCAATGTCTCAGGCTCCATACCCTCTTTCTTGTCTCAACTCAAAAACCTCCAGCTTCTTCATCTTTCCACCAACAATCTCACCGGCTCTATCCCCAGTTCACTCTCCCAGTTACCTAACCTCGAGTCCTTACACTTAGACAGAAACAAGCTCACAGGCCCAATTCCAGAATCATTCGGTTCCTTCAAAAAGCCCGGGCCACATCTCATCCTATCTCACAACCAGCTTTCTGGGCCCATTCCTGCTTCATTAGGCCAAATAGATCCAGGGAGCATAGACTTATCCCGAAACAAGCTTGAAGGTGATGCTTCGGTTCTTTTCGGGAGCAAGAAAAGGACACAGGTCCTCGATGTTTCAAGGAACTTGCTGTCGTTTGATTTGTCAAAGGTTGATTTTCCGAAACAGAGTTTGATATGGCTGGATCTGAATCATAATAAGATATTTGGGAAGATTCCAGTTGCATTAACGAAAGTGGAAAATTTGCAGCAGTTTAATGTGAGTTATAATAAATTGTCTGGTGAGATACCGCAGGGTGGTGAATTGCAGAAGAGGTTTGATGTTTATGCTTATTTTCACAACAAGGGTTTGTGTGGGTCACCACTTCCAGCATGCAAAAAGTGATCAAGGAGATGACTTAGCTAAGTTCTAAGTGAATTTCCGGTTTTAATAAATAAATAAAAAGTTATGTGGGTACCATTTGAATGTGGTCAATGTTAAATTGCTAAGTTGAACCGATGCTGTGGTTTCTAATTGAGAGATGTTATTTCTAATTTTCTATGCTAAGTT